ACTGTGCATTTGCACGAAAAGTTAATTATTATTAGAGTAAGTAATATAAATATATAAACAAAAGAAAATATCATAATTTTATCCATGAAATATTAAGAACTGTGAAAAAAATTCAGAATATTATTAAAAAAAAATCTTTATACACAACATTTATGGATTTTCTATCATCAGAATTCTTATCGCCACAAATCATTATCTTCAAACCATTCTGATTCATGATTTTGGAAAGAGCAATGTTCTTGAGTACAAAGTCAACATGCGATAAAGACTGGTCTTGATTCTTATTGATAGTCACAACATACGAAACCATGACAGAAAGTTGACGGCGTTGAAAGTTGAATGGTACCCTCAAATTGAAAAGTATGATAAAGAGCCTAGGAATAAGAATCTTATCACCAGCTCTGGCACCGATATAAATTCTGCATTTGAGGACATGACCATTGAGCTTAGTAATAACTAAATGTGTATCGTTCCACAACCCATAGTGATCAATGTTTCTCAACACATCACTTAAGTGCTGACCTTCAAGTGTATTTTGTGATTTAGAATTCTCGAGAATTTAATATCATTAAGAAATTCAAGAGTATGGAGATTGTAAAGAGAGTTACATTGAACATCTGACTTGGAAGCGTTGTCCAAACTGAAATAGGTCCTTTCCTCGAAAGAGTTCAATGAGCTCATGTACTCATTCACAGACTAAACGACATAAATTATGGGAGCCAGTATCGCTTTGTCCTTCATATAACTAAAGTCATCACCAGAACTCCTGAACATCGGGTAGGTAATCTCAATAATAGTAGCAGTAGGATCTCCTTGTGATTTCAGAAGAATATCATCGAAGATCTCAATATAGGCACAATCTTCATTCGATCCACCGACTGTACCATCGTCAAAGCTAGCAAGCCAGTCTAAGAACCGCTTCATCTCATTGTATAATCACCATCACCAAGGTTTCAAAGCCTCATTTTCCTAGTAAGTCAGGACAGTACAATCCTGCCACAACTTGGATGAGTTGATAGTGGTATTCACTATATTGCTACGACTCTTTAGGGACAACGGGCAATATCAGTCTAAAATCCCCACAAAAAAAAAACAATAGACTTGCCCCTAAATAGGAGATTTTTCATCGATGGGTCCACTACCTCCATTAAGACTCCCATGGTTGTGTCCACCGCCTGAAAGCAATACTTAATAATCACCGACTTCATCCCAAATGATCAACTAGCACTGTTTAATCAATTCTGCTAAAGGACTTTGCTGACTTGTCACATAAAGAACCTTACATCGGGTTTAGGGGGATTCAGAACTGAGAATGCACAATGCATCCGACGGGTAGCAAAAATTACACGAAACCGCTTGATGCAACATTTAACACTATTTCGCCCTTGGACCTTGAAGCAAATTTAACGAATAATAATTAAAATTTAAAATGGAATATGAATGTAAACAATTAAATCAAGTATATTTCCTTACTAATATAGCACAAAAAAAAAAATAATCATTCTTTCATTAACAAAAATGTGAATATAATATCATCGAAAGAGTTTCATCGGTAAAATTGTATGATGACAACCCACAAATCATGGAGAGAGGAATGGTTATAGGCATCAAGTAGAATTAGGGGTGCACAAAGTTTGGATAACCGACCGAAACTGACCAAAACCGAAACCAAATTTTTAGTTCGGTTTTTGGTTTGCATTTTTTAAAGTTTTCAGTTTTCGGTTCGGTTTGGATATAAATGTTCGGTTAACCAAACCGAACCAAAAACCGATATTATATATATGTTATAAAAGCCTTACTACCCAAGCACATGTTTACAGTTTTTAGGCCTATTATATGTAAAGAAATAAAAATCATATGAACAGGCCCACTTGCACAGACACACTCGCACAAACAGGCCCAACCATCCCATTGCTATTTACTCACGGGTGGTCATCTTCTCATTCTCATCTGTTTCGACTGACATCTCACATCTCCTTTCCAAACAAGAGAATTCTTTTAAATCCCTTCCCTTCTTCAGATTCCAGACAAG